TTCACCTATCCAGCGTCCCCCTCTCTCTCTCTTTCGTTCTCTCTGTCTAATCCCCCCTCTCTCTCTCCCTCCCTCTCTCTCCTTTTCTCTCTCATCCACCCCCCCCCTCTCTCTCTCTCTTTCTCTCTCCCTCTCTCGCTTCATGTCTTCTCTCCTCCTCCTCCTCCTCTTCCTCCTCACCTTCCTACACAAACACATATGCTGGCGTTTACCGGCACCACTCACGTGCTCACCTTTCTCATCACGGCACGTTACTCACTCTGAACACAAGTATGTGCGTTACCTGGTCCTGTGTTACGTTGGTCTCTCCTCCTACCCCAGGTAATGGGGGCAAACCCCCCCCCCCCAAACCGGGATTCGTTCTTTTTTCAACCTTCTCTTTCATTTTCCTTAGCGTACTTTCTTCTCCACCGCTCTTTCCTTTATCCTTACCGCATCCCATCACCTTTACCTGTACCCCTTATCCCCCGCTCTCTTTTCTTCCCCCAACCAAAACGACACACTAACACACACGCTTATAAATGCACTCACACATACAAGCACACACATCGACACATTCATATATTCACTCACACATACACACACACAAACGGCACACACATACACATACATACACTCACACATACACACACAAACACAGTGTGTATGTCTTTCTCTGTGTGTGTTTCTCTGTGTGTATGTGTGTGTGTGTGTGTGTGTGTGTGTGTGTGTCTGTGTGTGTGTTTGTGTGCGTGTGTGTGTCTGTGTATGCATATGAGTGTGCACAGGCGAGAATAAGAAAGAAGGGCGGGAAAGAGGAAGACGGACAGATCGAGAGTAAGAAGCAGAGAGTGTATTTTGGAGATTTAGTGTTTGTGAAAGAACAAGAGTATTAAAATGAGCACCAAAGTTATTACTCGTGCTTGCTCAGGTCTATGAATGTGCGTGCATGCTCACGTGCAAGTGCGTGAGTGAGAGTGTACTCACCAGGAGGAGGTGCTGCTGCGGCTGGAAGGGCTGCGGACCTGGGTCTCAGACACACTACCGATGCGGGAGGCTGCGTGAAGGGGTTCCGGTCTCTCCGAAGTCTTTCCTTGCATGCGTTGTCGGCACAGGTCCTGTCCGGGGCAGTCAGGCAGGTACAAGT